CAGGCAGCAACGGTCATTTCGGCGTTCAGGGCGTTATAGTCGGTTGTCCGACTGATCACGCAACATTGGACGGACGTGTTCGAGGACCGGACGATCGATACGTATCTAACGCTGTGCGATCGTCACAGTCGGACGACCGACTATGAATGCACGCTCATGAGAAAAATGCGTAGTAAAGAGGGTAGAAGTGCCCAAGGAGACAAACAGGCGCCATTGCAGCAGAATCCTGGACTATAACTGGCGTAGTAAAAGGGCGCTGAGAGATATCCCTAACGTATCCCATTCCTCTCTCGCTGGAGATTTGAGAAGATCGTAACCGCATCCTTGATATGATAAATGTCATCGTTCTTGTCAAATTATTTCAAATGCTTTTCACCATGTGGTCGTACCTCCGTATATTATCATGTCATGTCTTCTATAGGGTTGTTCACTATCTATGCAAACCTAGTGATAAAACAAAAAGGCTCCTTTTTCTAAGTTATCGACTTTGTTTTTTTTATGTTCGGCATGTTCACTATCCTGTTCTGTCGGCATCAACTCATCGATATTGCTGCCTTTGATGGTTCAGTTTAGGATTGAAACCAGGATAGAATTAATTAATTTGCTAGGCAAAGTTGATGCTACTAGTTCACTGTAATCTTGTCGACGTAATGGGAGGAAAGGAGTGGATGATTTATGATTTAAGTCTACCTTGCTCTCAGGGTTAGATCTTACGATTAATCAACGAATAAGTTGCGCAAAAAAGTACATCGGCCGATCGTTAGGACATCTGCAAGATCACCAGTGGCTTTGGAAACTGTCCTCAACGAAATTGTGTCGTGAAAAGTAAAGAAAATACCAGCGGGTGTCGTGTTAACCATATAACATGCGATGAGAATTCGATTCCGTTTGCGCGCACTTGTTGAAGATTGCGTTTTCTTCATTTATCGTCCTATATAATACGGTTTGTTCTAGGTTTTCGGCGAAGAAGGTGACTTCATCACTGCTCCTGAGCTGACACAGCTCTTCGGAGAACTTCTTGGTGTCTGGTGCTATTACGAACTGGCAAACACAGGACATGCAGGTATGATTTCTACCACTAATCCGATGGAGGTAGTGAAAATCACCGCAGAGGTGGTAGTACTTGATTCAGGACCTTGGCAACTTGTTGAATGTGGGCCAGGCACAGGACAACTAATGCACGATATTCTTCTGGCGATGGATAAATTTCAGGTATTCTGTTTTCTTTATAGTGTTTACTATGTCTTTGACTTTTCAGTGCGTTATCACGTCAACATAGTGCCTTTTAATCTTTGAAGGAGAAGAATCTGTCGGTGCATTTGGTTGAGACATCCGATGCCCTTATACGGCAGCAGGAAGAGGTGCTGTGCGGTTCATCCTCATCGTCAACAAGCACATCGAGTTGTGGTAATTGTTTCGCACTTTGCGAACATTCGCCTTTTCTAGTTTTGGCTTTTTAGGGAACGCAGTGAGAAAGAACAAATCGAATATGGGGGTTCCAATATTTTGGTACAAAACATTGGATGATGTACCTGAGCAGGTGATTCAAAGACTTTGTTTTAGAGCATTTGATAAAACTGTTATGCAATGTTCAGTTTTCCGTTTTTGTCGCTAACGAATTCTTGGATGCACTGCCTGTCCATCAGTTCTGCCGTGAGTCTGATGGAGTATGGCATGAGGTCAGTAGCCTAGCCATGTTTTGCAGTTTTCTTTTCAAACTTTCTCAACATCCGACGCAAGGTTTAGGTTTACATCAATATCGATAAGGCTGGAGAATTGTGCTTTATGAGATCTAAGGGCGAGAACCTGCACACCCGGTACGCTCTATTTGTTCTTGTCACGTCGTGATTATATTAGCTGACTGCAGTTCACTGATGTAGTTTCAGTGGTCTGATACCAGAAGATATCCGTGCTGAAAAGGAAACTTCTTGGAGTGTAGTCCGAGGCGTGGTATACGGAACAAATTACCAGAAGGATGTCATTCTGTTCAGTTCTATGATATTTATAATCGTGGGTCATATATCCGTTAGCCTATGATACTGAGGCTTTAAATTTTAGAATCATTCATGATGGCGGGTTTGGGCTCATCATTGATTATGGTCATGATGGATCTCGCAATGATTTGTCTTTACAGAGACCTATAAGAAGGGAACAAGTAAGACCATCCATAGTCATGTTGTTCGACGGGTGATTTCTGAATACTTATTAGAGCGGGGAAACGACAAAATGTCCAGATTGATAGTCAATGCTACTACTCTTCACTTGTCTCTTTAGATGTCTAGAAAGCGGGATGAGAGAAAAGTAGTTATTTGGTTGTAGGGGGGAACCAAAAAACAAAAAACCAGAAAGAACAGTAGGGACATATCTGGCTACACGATTTATTGTTCTAGAGAATCCCCGAGAAGAATTATACTTTAGTGAACTTCAGTCACTGGCTATGATAGACGGCCGATGTCAATTTGCGCTCCTCAAGTCGCTTCATATGTTGATCGTGCATCGATTAGAGGACGAATACGAGCGGTTTGTTAAACTTACGTATATTATAACGAGCGAGCTTTTAAAGGATAAAGGATAAAGCATTTGCCGTTGATCAATCCCTTTTGGGATGCGGCACGCATTCTACTTCCATTTGTACATTCGCAGTGGCATTTGAATGCGATGTGGCCTATACAATGACTTGCGGGGGCCAGCCGATGTTCAAGTCAGTGTTTTTTCCTCCCAGACAAGTCTGGTACCAATTAACCGACCCCGGATGGGAAGGCTGGTTGGCTCGGGCGACTCACGACCCAGGATTGATCCGGATACGCTTGCGTGAGGGAAGCGACGCCTGTTCACTGCACACTTGCCTTTAGTTTTTATACGTAACTCTTAGTTCGTCTCTAATATCAGTTTTTTTTTTATTTTCCTATCTCAGCTCCGCAATGTGGAAGGGAATTGCTTTTATTTAGTCACAGTTTATTCTATTCGGAGTTTTGTCTGCGGTGACTTGAAAAACCTTCCAGCAATGTCCCTTCTTAGGTGCACCTAACTCCTTTGATTCCTTGACCTGCGTTAGACTTGTAATTTATTATTGATCTTATTGGTGTGATCCAGTTAGTGGAACATTAACATTTGTTCTGCCCCATCGTGCTCTTTTGCGTCACTTGGACAGAAGCCGTTGCAAACATCTCCGCAGCATGATACCATAGATGGCGGCCATATAGATGATAGCAATAATTGTTGTTCATTTCCGACAGATATTCTAGAAATCTGATATTGATAATTTAGAACCATTTCACCATTCCTAACACAAACATATCCAAAGATTCATTATTCAATTACCAGTTGGGCGCCGCACGCGAGACGACTTTATGCGACGATATGGGGATGCCGGCGCAATTCTAGAATTTGGACCCAAATTCGTTCGAAAATTGACTTTCAGACTTTGAATTCCCATTCCGATCAATGGATCATCCACCGATGCCTTTTCACTTCCTCTTGCCACAAGTGTCGCCTTCGTCAACTGACTTTCCGGTCTCGGACTGCCTCTGGAATTAATTTATAATTCGCTGTCAACCGTATATTTCTGTGAATTTCTGGTGAGACCTTTTTCTTTGTGTTTCGACACCGTAGAAATTCAATTCTTTCTTTTGATCTTTCTTCGCCCGAAGTCTCAGGTACTATTTAAGCCGAAGTTACAAAGTTCGTAGAAAACTCCGTCCACATTGGATATGCCCGCCCACCAATGGCAATTGGGCTTCGCTCCTTCACCCACCTCTTCCCGGATTTCAGGACTTATTGGGGCTGAGTTATGAATTTTCGTCGCAAACTCCGCCCACTTTGGTCATCACCCACGTTGGTGCACACCCCACCCACCAGTAGCAGTTGACCTCCCTTCCGTTGACGGACTCAATTCACTTTTTTCCGGTCTCCAGGACTTCTTGGAACCGAGTTATGAATTTTCGTCGCAAACTCCGCCCACTTTGGTCATGCCCCGCCCACCAATGACAGTTGGCCTCCACTCCTCCACCCACCTCTATCCACCTTTTCCCGGTCTCCGGGACTTCTTGGAGCCGAGTTATGAATTTTCGTCGCAAACTCCGCCCACTTTGGTCATGCCCCGCCCACCGATGACAGTTGGCCTCCACTCCTCCACCCACCTCTATCCACCTTTTTCCGGCTCACTAAGACTTCTCCGGCCCGAATTATGAGGACTTGTAGAAAATGCTGTACACTTCAGAGCGCGCTCCGCCCATTGTGGGCGGGCCTCCGCCCACGTCATGTATGCTGGGAACACCTTAGACATTGCTCCCCTACACCACTTTGTTTTCTATGAACTTCCAGTAACGATATCCTTTTTTTTTCATTCGCGTTCTTAAACGTTTTAACGATGGTTGAAAAGCTCTGTTATTGTAGGTTTGATCAACCGCAATCACTTTTTCCATCGGTTTTCAAAAGAGCACCGCTCGTTAAAATATTACTGTTTTTCAACCTGCTCAACTCATGCATGGCATACAAAGTTTCTCGCTTTGTAATTTTCAATTAGTCAAATAATTTTCAATTATTATTAAGTAATTCTGTGCCTCTCATATTTGCACATTTCTTCTAAATTTTCACTCGAAACCTAATATCTAGCGAGTTTCCTCATGTTACCACTAAATAGGATGAGATGCTCTTTTCAGCAATATTCCGATCGTCGTTCAGCTACTGTAGTCGGTCCACCACTCTTAGGAAAGTCATTAATTGTAACCGGCACGGTAGACTACAGTCATTTGTCTCCCTATGCATTACAGTTCTGGATCTCACTTCTGGTGGAGCGTAGTGCAGCGAGCGCTAAGTCGTAGGCTATAGCCTTTCTCCTCTCCGTACCTCATTACTACTCCCTTACCTC